TTACAATACGGTCGAATGCCTTATATTTTCCCCCATACAAAATCGACCCAGCCTACTGTGCATGTATGCAATACTTCGTTTTTCACATATACATTATTCGTTTTTTCTAATATAAATTACTTCTACTTAGTAACGGTTATAATCCCTAGCGCGGCCGAAGGCCGCCTACCCAAAAATACCTCCGTCCCTCTCTTCTGGCAACACAGAAAGGAGAATTTTACTTAGTAAGGGTTAATAATCCCTAAGCGCGGCCGAAGGCCGCCTAGGCAAAAAGAAGTTCTGCGCAAACATACTTCCGCCCCTCTTTTTCGGCAATACAGAAAAGAGAATTCTACTTAGTAAGGGTTATATTCCCTAACCGCGACCGAAGGCCGCCTACGCAAAAAGAAGTTATGCGCAAACATACTTCCGCCCCTCTTTCCCGGCAACAAAGGAAGGAGGATTCTACTTAGTAAGGGTCATAATCACTAAGCGCTACACAGAAAGAAGTTCGTTTTCATGTATGCACTCTTTATTTTATTTATTTTTATTGTATTTATTTATTTGTTACAGTCTTATGACTTAATAATACAACTATGATATTCGTACATACATACGTATATGAGTTGTAATGTTCTTATTGCTAAAGTTATGAATTAAATATAAAATTATGTATACAAAAACTATATATATTATATTACATATGTCTATATTTGGCCGCATGAATAAAAATATGCAATTACCCCCTCCAAAAAGTTCCGACCTTCCACTTCAGTTTATTTGAATAATCGAGTATAAGGTCGGAAATTCCAAGAAAACGCAATTGCAGTTCCCAATCATACGGCAGAGCAGGCAAACTAGACTAGTGGTCTAGACAGGCAAGTTCCAGGCCGTATTGTTAGGGCAGTTGGAAATCACTAGTTTCCAATCTGCACCATCCCTTCTCATATTATTGCTTCAGTTGTTAGGGCAGTTGGAAAGAACCAGTTTCCAATCTGCACCTTCACTTCTCATATTATTGCCTCAGTTGTTAGGGCAGTTGGAAAGCACTCGTTTCCAATCTGCACCTTTCTTCTCATATTGCTGCTTCAGTTGTTAGAGCAGTGGGAAAGCACTAGTTTCCAATCTGCACCTTTACTTCTCATATTGTAGCTTCAGTTGGAAAGCACTAGTTTCCAATCTGCACCTTTCTTCTCACATTGCTGCTTCAGTTATTAGGGCAGTTGGAAAGGACTAGTTTCAAATCTGCACCTTTATTTCTCATATTGTAGCTTCAGTTGTTTGGGCAGTTGGAAAGGACTAGTTTCCAATCTGCACCCTCACTTCTCATATTATTGATTCGGTTCGATCAGGATTTCCGATGTTATACACCCTGTCTGAATGGACTAGATCCAGAACAACACTGTTTGATAGGGTAGGAGGACGGTGCTTCGGGGATTGGTGTTTCGACTCTGTCAAGATTTGGAGATTCAGCAAGCTGTCTGAGTGGATTGGATCCAGAGCAACCTGGCCGGATGGAAAGGATTTGTTTCCATGCCGAGCCTCTATCTGATAGGTAGTGTTCGACAGTGGTCAAGTAATGATCTCTTGAAACTGGCAATGCTTTCACAATTTCTTGTTTGTGACGGTAGTTCGTTAAAACACTTTAATCCTTTGTAGAATATGTTCATTTTATCCACTTCTGTCCTATATAACGGCAATCTAAAGCTATTATTTTCCCTGAGTATGTATGAATGAGTTTCATTTATATATCTGAGATTCTTTCGGTTTTTGTCATGTGCATTATTTCGGTTTTAAGTCGGTTTTTGTCATATGCATTATTTCGGATTTGAACCGAAACTGTGCATGTATACATTACTTCGTTTTTCTTATATGAGTGAAAATCTCTCAAGTGGACCAGCCAAAATTGGACGGTCAGGATTTTTTCGCACAAATCACTTTATTCGGTTTACAACCATGAAAAAAATATATAATTTGAGCAATTTTGCAAAACTCGAAGTTTTACAAGAGTTATTGTTATTCACTTTTTTTATGAATTTCGTAATCTATGTACAGCTACTTTCAAAATTCAGCATACGGCTCTTTTTTGTTAATATTCGCAATGTTTTACATGCTAAAATCTTTTTGTTAATTTTGTATTAAAATATAGCTCATATTTTAGCAAACCCCACTTAAATCCAAGAATGAAACAGTGTTCGAAAATTAAGAAGAATTGCAAAGTTCAGCAAAATCGCGAACTTTTTAATACGAATTTCTAAAAAGAATTCAGATGCGCAGTTTTATAGCCCATTAAATTTTAATGTAATAATGTGCGAATTTCAAATGTCTAAAAATTCGCGTTAATTTTTGAGAATTTTTTTGCTGAATGTCCTTCGAATTTTTTTTCATATGAAAAAAAATATGAAATTTTTTTATATGAAAAAAAAGCGTAGAACAGTCAGCAAAAAAAGTCTCAAAAATCATCGCGATTTTATTGAGCTCCAAAATAGCAACCAGAGAACGCATCGAAAAAAAGTCTTTAATATTGTTTGAGAACCTCTTGCACCATTAAATAAATAATAAATATATCTACTTTTTTATTTAAAGTGAAAATTAGTTCATAAGTAACAAAACAAAAGACAGTAATAAAGTGTATACGCATTTAATAATACTTTAGCGCGTACATACCTGATAAAATAACTTAAGGTATGTCGAATAAAGCTCGATGCAAAAAAATGTGAGTCAACAAATGTATTTTGTGGTTGAAAGAATTTCATAATACTAGTGGCAGAGGTAAAGAAACTCCTTATTTCGAGCAATTTTGTCCATATTTATTATGTTTATTTAATGTTTAATTTTTTTTTATAAATATAACACCGTGCAATTGTCAATTTTGCACACAAAAATCAATATATTCGCGAATCCATGGGCCAAATATAGTAAAGCTGCGTTTTTAGTTTTTCTCTCTGACGTCAGGATTTATTTTAAAGGACTTTGTAATTTCAAAGATATGATTAATTCCAAAAATTATTTAAAAAATTCAGTGCAATGTAGAATAAAAATATGGGTACCAAATGAAAGGGGAAATTTCTTTAGAATTTAAAAAATTTAAAACATTTTTATATAGATGAATCCGAGCTAATTTCTTTTAGTGTATGCTCATATTAATATCATAGTGCAAGTAAAAAAAAAATATTCCATTATTGGGATCTAAACGATTTTACCTTTTAGATCGCTATAAGTCGGTTTGGATGTGTTAGTGAAAATAAATACATACAGTCACTCAAAGAAGTATTCGTGATTTAGTTTTTTCACAATACATATTCAAAATGTTCCATCATAAATCTTTTTCGTTAATTTTCATTTAAAATATAGCTCACTCTATAACAAAAACCATATAAATCATCCTTGCAAACTTTATAAAAAATTCATAAATTGAATCAAACTTAAAAAAATCGACAATATTTCAAACTTTTTAATAATAATTTTTAGAAAAATTGTCGGTATGCAGTTTTTTAGCCCGGTCAAATTTAGTCAATTCTAGTATAATAAAGTGCAAGTTTCAAGAAGCTAAAAGTACCGCGGATGTTTTAAAATTTTTTTGTCGAAAGTGTTGCGCATTTTTTTCCATAAAGGCATGAACGAAATCAATTTTTTATGGAAGAAAATGTGCAACATCCTGGACAAAAAAATTCTAAAAAATCAGCGATTGATTGATTTTCATGAATTTTGTACGAAGTTTTCAAGAATTTTGTATATGGTTTTTGTTATAGAATAAGCTATATTTGAAATGAAAAATAACGAAAAAGATTTGTGATGGAAAACATTTAGAATGCTAAATCGGGATTTATTTACTCGAGCGTCATTTTGACCTATTGGATTTTGAAGACTATATGATGGGAAGAAAAAAAGGTCATGTGATGTTTTTCCTTACAGCGGTGGGTGGAGGATCTACAGGCTTCCAAAAATGTTAAAAAAAAAAACAGTTACATGGATTTACTCGAGCGCCTCAGATATTGATAGTGAATAAATCAAACGGGTTTCTTATGACGGAAATATGCTAATCTGCCGGTTTGCATGGTGGGGGTGGGCGTACGGAAGGGTGAAAAATGGGCGACCAAAAAAATTTACTCGAGCGCGTCAGATATTCACAAGGGATGTTAAATGGGCCCGAATTAACCTCCCATTCAATAATCTGACGGTTCAGATGTGACGCAAGCTCGTGGCGTCTTCTTGAAGTAGCAAAAAAAAAAAAGGTCATTAGGATTTACTCGAGCGCGTCAGATTTTCATACAGAAGGTTCATCTCGATGCCCTGGTCGTCCTGTTCCATAATCTGACGATTATCTGGAGGGGTTTTCTTAATCTGACGGTTTAAAAAAGTAATTCCGTTTCTGAGATGCACAGTCAACCAAACACATATTATTGTAAACACTTATTATTTTATCCGAGCAACTATTATCATACACACTTTTCAGCATGTAATTAACCAACTATTTCTTAATCTGACGCGCTCGAGCAAATCCACCTATAAATTTTGTTTACTATTCTGATCAGCTCTCCAATGCGCGCGGCTCTACATAGATGGCTTAGATTTGGCAGAGGTACTCATCAGGATGCAGGGTATCCCCTATATGTTAATCTCACGCGCTCGAGTAAATCCCCGAATCCCCTCTTGGGCACCCCTACTAATTTTGATGTTGTTAAAAACCTAAATTACTAATACGTCTGTGAGTGACTATATGTATTAGTTACACCAACATGACTCTGGCATGACTCAACTCGTGAGTCAGACGATCCGTCTATGGCGCCTATAAGAGGTGGTAAACGATAAATAAAAATTTAACTTTAAGACATTTTCAGTGACAATACTGCTAAAACGGCTTTAAGGAGCTTCGAAGGTTTACTAGTTTAGATATAAAGGTGTAATTAGATCTCTTTCTATAAGAGCATTTTGAATTTCATGAGCACGACTATTTCCATGCACATGTACTAATATGCACATATGTATTAATTACTAAAATGAACTTTTCTCCAATACAGAGCATGCAACTATATCTGCAGGCGAGGGTCAAGAGGGTTACCTTACAAGAAAACATGAATGGGAGTCAACTACGAAAAAAGCCTCAAATAGGTCTTGGGATAAGGTAAAGCTTGTCAATGTAAGTTCACACGAAGCTTGTCACTTAAATTTATTTTGTAGGTGTACGTTGTCGCAAAAATTGGCCATTTGTCGTTCTTCAAAGATCAAAAGGGTTATAAGAGTAATCCTGAATTGACTTTCCGTGGAGAACCGAGTTATGATTTACAGGGCGCAGGTATTCAAATTGCGACCGACTATACCAAAAAGAAGCATGTGTTAAGGATAAAGTGAGTAGAGATGGATTCGTCATAGAGTTTGAATTATCAAATATATTTTTGCATTAGACTTTCTGGCGGTGCCGAATTTTTATTGCAAGCACATGATGATGATGAAATGACGCTGTGGGTATCGTCCCTTAAAGCCCAAAGTGAGTCAGCAACCGTTGCTGAAAGCAGATCCCAAACATTACCAGCGACTTCACAGAAGGATGAACCAAAGCGCAGATCATTCTTTACCCTTAAAAAGAAATAAAGTGAAGACGTTCATAAAAGATTATTCTATTAAATTTTGCTTACGAAATTGCACGACAAATATGCTAAACGTATGTATATGTATCTTATTTATTTAAAACATGTATGCATTTTAATGTATTCAATAAAACATTTATTCCTTAAAATCGTATACATATAAGAAAATTCCCTTATTTACTGCTTTGATATTTTTTTAGATAGATAAGCCTAGGGAAAGTGGAGGAGTATGCGCAAAGTTTCGCTTCAAGCGTTAGAACGCGAAAACCAATTTTCAGTATTTCATAAAAACATATTATTTTACGAGTTTCTACTTAAGTGCGAAATATGGCAACATTGATGATGTGTATGGCATTATCATCGCATACATTTTAAATAGTAAACGCATGATACAAAGAAGAAGGCAGTTTCGTATATACAACTTTTTATTAAAAGCCGGTTTTTGACAGTTGCTCATTTGTAAAAATTTGATGTAGCGTTACCCAATTTTAGTTTTTTTGGTAGATAGTATTTCATATTATAAATTTTGGAAATATATGTTTATCAAATAGTTACGTTTACATCTATTTTTGTAAAAAGAATGTATTAATGACTAAAAAGAATTAATATTTCATAATAATATAGTTAAATTTTATATAAAACTCGATATAATATTTTATATGGGCTGTTTACACGGGGGCGTTTGCGAATCACGCTCCGGTGTAAATTTAGCAGAAAGAAATAAATAGAACCAAGATATTGTATTTTAGTGTTAATTCAATACAGAGTCAATTTATTTTCAATATATAAATATATATGTTGGTATAACAAAATATTTAAATACCTTTGGACTGGAGTGGCCTAGTAGCTGCTGCGCTCGCGTTGATCTTCTAAACCGAAGTGAAGTACAGGACTTGCGGGATTTTAAATCGGACCGCCGGACAACCGATATTAAGCGGAAACTTAACGAAGGTTTATTGTCCGGCGGGAAACTTTAGTTAACGGCGCGAATTAATATTAGTACGTGTGCACACGTATGTGTGTGTACATATGCACATATGCCAACATTAGGGCGGGTCGCAAAAATATAGAAATATTTAGGGTGAAGGCCTAAACATACTGGCCCTCTTTCGGCAAGCAACATCCAACATTTATGCAGCAACTACCAGATCAACTATATACATGTCCAAACAAAATATTATAAAAATTCATAAAAAATGTGTTTCTCTGGTTTCGTTGGAGAGGAGCCAGATTCCTCGTTCGTCGTCCCGCATCGTTTCACATGCGTTCTCCTCGAACCTAAGTTGCTGCTTGAGGGGAAGAGATGTAAAGTATAAGAGTGAAGATACGTGGACATTTTCAAGTGCACTTTTATTGAGAAAAAGAAAGATTCATAAAAATAAATTTCAAAAATTTATATGTAGAAATTCATTCAATCAGAAAAGTTATAAATATAAATGTATCTGTTTATGTTTATGCTCTGGTAACGCCAGAGAGCACCCATCCGAAGATGGTGCTCTGAGCTAGCAGAGGCCCAAAGGAATTTGGGAGTATACCCGGCAGGATTACGACGGCGTAAACGTCAATGCCGAGGACTTGGCGAATGGGCGTCGAACTATAGAAATGTGGGTCGGCCAACCGAATGTGCTGGTATGCTGTGGCGACGGCAGGATCTACGTTGCTGGCTAGCGATACGCGGTGGTAGTTCGTTTTAACCGTCGCGTGGGTCGGAATACGGTTATTATCGCCGTGCTTTCCTCGAAGGCATAAGACGCAACCCGTTTGATTTCCGACTCGCGTCTGTTCCAGCCTCAATTCCCGAGCTAGGTCCGCTGAAATTATCGTGGTGGCGCAGCAACTATCGATGAGAGCGCGGACTAGATGAAGGCGCCCCATCGCCTCGACTTTTACTACTGCTGTCCGCGCAATAGCAATCATAGGGCTCAATGTTGGACCCGCGATAGCGTGTTGTCCCGGGAGCCCGTTGCGGAACATGTCGGGTGTGGCTACCTGGCGGAATCTAGGAGCAAGCCTATTGTCGTTCTGTCGACGCAGTCGGAAAGGCCTAGTTTCCACTGCGCCGTCGCTGAATTCTGCGTGGTAACCCAAGACGCCGTGTATGCTCTCGGTCTTCTAAGTTGTCGCGTTCATGTTGGAGCAGGGGTCGAAAAGACCTGGTTTCCGATCCCCTATTCGTGGTCGGGCGAAGAGGCATAGTCTCCGCTCCGGACTCACATAATTCGCTCAGTTCATTTTCTGGACGAAGAGGCCTAGTCTCGTTTCCAGAGTCAGAGGCGCAAATGGATATCGCACAATCAGCGTTTTCTTCTTCTACTTGAACGCTCCAAGGCTTGCTGGTTTCATTCTCTGACCTCCATGAGTCTATATTCATCGATATGGAGGGTAGAATGGTGCTTCTCGTTGCATTGACGGCATTTCGCATCGCTAGTACAATTTTCGGTTTTGAGGTCCATAGAAAGACAGTTGCCGCAGAAACGTCCTAGCAGCGCCTCCCGTAGCCTCTCTTCTGGTGTCTTGGCACGATAAATTGGGCACAGACGAATTGGGTGTTTCCCTTCACACAATCGGCACGCCAAAACAAAGCGTTGAGGGTTCTGCATGGCCTTCTGTTTTAATGTGCTGAAGAGACCCATTTTTTCCAGAAATATTTCCTGCTTTAATTTTGTTTTTCAACTTGTTCGCAGTTGATTCTCTTTTTTATTGTTGGGTGGCGAGTGAATAAGATGGGAATTATTTAAGCATTTGGCATAAAAAAAATCGTTTGTTAATTGCAACAAGATTGGTCCGTCTGAACGTGGCATTATTTTCTATCAATTGCCCTTCTCCAACTAACGCGTGTAAATATGGCTTAATCCAAGTTTGCAACCCACGAAAATGACAAATGGATCGCACAAATGCCATACATTCCATTGTGCAGGGATGCATGGGCAGAGTTAGATTTTAATTATATCGAAGACTGTAACTTTGCAGTTATTATTTAGAGGTGCCAAAATTAAGTGCACTTGTGAAACTGATTATCTCCATTATGACTTCATCTACTAATATTCGTAATTAGCATTTAAACTTCATAGATTAAAAGTGGCGAAAAACGTATTAATATACACATGGAGAGTTTTTAGCCATTCTCACAACCCTACAACTAGCCTGCCACCCAAAAATGCCACTGTAGGTGATACTCGGCTAAAAACAGGGTAGCTCATATGCAGCGGAATTCATAAGTTGAATATTAGATTTTATTACAAATGTCTTATTCCCTTTAGAATTTTACGTAAAAATATGTGAAATAACTACAAAAAGTTAGTGCATTCATATTTCCTAATGACAATGCCTCTTTAAGTGCGAAAAATGCATTTAGGTTAGCAAAGCTAACGATTATCGAATGGTGCGATGGTATGTATCAACATATGTTTTTTCCATTTGTGGAACGTATGTAGATAGAAGTATATGTGAATTTATACACCCGTACTAGGACGTCACTACGTTCTGACATGGGTTTAGTACTTTTTAGAAAAGTGTTTAATCTACTCTAGTACGTTTTATTAAAAAATCTACTCAATAATACAGTTTTAATTCATGTCAATATTTAGGTATGGATGACGATGATCTTAATGAAAATTAATGTTTAAGTTAAAGGTTATTACTTTGATCATTATGTGAAATAATCCAATTTGGTGATATTGCGAATGTGAAAAGGATGACCCCCGGCTACTACGAAAATTTGTATTTATCCCAATTGTTAGAGTGGTGCGTACTAAATAATTTGAGTAGTCCGAGCCCTGTTTCACACATATGCCAATGAAGAAAATTCATTCATTTCATTGAAAGAATGGGATGGGAAGTACATTCATACACCAGGGAATTACGCAATCGCAGGTAAGAAGTTTGTAGAGGTTGTAAAAATTAATAAATTTAATTTGCAATTAACACTAATATTTTTTTCTTTTCAGACTCCGAATTAAGCAGTGCACGGCAGTCCGCGCGATTGACTTAATATGTGACCTGGTCTACGGAAAGGGGGCTTAGGTGTCAAAAACTCAATTTTCACTTTTTGGTTGATTCGGATGGAAGATGAGATGCTTTTTCACGTGGTGAAAAGCAGAAAATCCTAACTTGCTTAGAAGTGTACTAAAAATGTAAAGAAAGAAGAGTAAAAATACGACAAAATATAATTTATTGGTAATGAACAAAATACACTAGCAACTTTCACGATGAACTATAATAATATTCCGACCAACAACAACACTTACTGGACCAACAACAACACTTACTGGACGTCCGGCGCGGAGAACAATTAACGAGATAATGAGAAACTGACGAAACGAGTTGCTTACTTTTAACAGCTTTTTCACAGAAAACTGGTTTTCGCACGTAAGCTCCCTTTTCGTAGACCAGGTCACATATATGGATTTCTTGAAATATCCAAGTTATAGCCGATATAATTTAAATTGATGGTCGTCAAATCCTACTCAATTTGAGCTGTATCCTTTGCCAGCCAATACGAGTCTTGAATATACGGGCAAATCGGCTCAACACGGGACCTTTAAATCCATATTTATTTGATTATAACCGCACCTTTTTGGTAATCGCATAAACTTAACTGAAATGGAGTCTCAGCCTGGTTATATCAAATCGGGCGATACACGGAAGCTGCGTTGCCTCTGCTGATGTTTGGAACACCGTTCCATACTGAAGAAGTGGATAAAAGCGGTAATGTTATGCTATCGTGTGAAGGTATTGAATATCAAAATTAACAAAAAACTAATATTTTTAGTATGATATTAAATAAAAAGATTTACTCTTAAAGACAGTAAATGCTGCATTTAAAAAAATAGACTAAATAAAAAAGCAAACATGTGTAGTTAATTTAAAAACATATGAAGCCAAAGGACAGAGCTTGCAAGCTTATAGTAGCAACTATTTAAGTTGAAGTGTACCAGACAAACGTACTAATACCAAGTAGTAGGGAAGTTGCAAATTCGTGCTGGGAACATTTTTTTTCGCAAGAATTTGTGTGTAGGATTGGGGCCCACGGTTGCTTTTTGTCAACAATAATTTGCATTAACAAGTTCAAAAAATTTAAAAAATGTACAATCTTGCTGCGATTTGCTAATGAGCGATGTATGTAAATATTTTTTTTTTTACTTAATTAATTTA